CAAGAGAAGTCTCAACAAAAAAAGAATTGGCCAAAAGCATCACAGTGACAGGACCAACCACAAGATCCAAGAAGAACATTAATTCCACTTCAGCTACCATCTCCAAGGCTAGTAAGGTAACTTGATCTATTAAATGGCATATAAACATGAGTTTTTGTTGATGCTAGTGTTTGTTCTTATTGATTTTCTAATTAATTTGTTGTTCTAGTCAATTGACAAGGTCACAGGTAATGAAAAAATTGTGCACACACAGAATTCTCAAACCACCAAGGATGTTCAGAGCACAAAAAAAACTTTAGGTCTGAAAAGGAAGTTGGATGTAAGTATTTGGATGCTTTCTTGGTTAAATTTTGTTTGCACATATTGAAGTTGTACTTAAAATATTTATTATTGTAATTAATGTTAACCAGGTAAGAAAGATGCCACAATCTCAAGGTCAAACATCTAATTCTGCTCCTGAGGTTAACAAACCCACATGGAGACCACCTGGGAGGTCACTCACAGATGCTACAAGCTTCTCAAGAATGTTTGGTGGAGGATTCATGATTAGTGGAGGAGGGATTGTACACAGGCCAGACCAATCAATTGCTAGAAGTGAAGGAACTGTCAAAAGTCCCAAACATGTCAGAAGTGAAGAAGAAACCCCAGCTTGTAGACAACAGTAGACTTGGTTGTTGTTTTGTGTTGTTGGTTTGGAGAAACATGATTTGTTTTCTGTCTTTGAACATGTTTTGTTGACTTGGTTGTTATGAACATGTTTTGTTAGGATTGTTATGATACTATGGTTGTTATTGGGATGTATGATCCAAACAATGTATGCTTTTTGGTTGGAAATTGCAGTGTTATTATATTTTGGTTGACAATTAAAGTGTTAGTTTTTTGGTTGTTTATTAATCCATAATGGCACCAAGAATGTGCACAAAATAATCAAAAACACAACATGGCTTTGTAACATAATCCATTGCATTCATTAATTGACCAATACACCATAACATTACATAGTTTTGGAAGACACCAATACAAGAGATGCTTCCATTGCATTCACAAAAGAGACACATCCAAATGACCAACTACAACAATGCATACCTATTACACTTCAAGTTCATCTATTTTAGTCAATACTCAAGCACACCCATTACACTTCAAGAAGCATAGAACAATCAAACCAACAATTGCTAACAACATGAGCCTCTCCCATTTCTTCCTTCTTGCAATTTCTTCTTCCAATTTTTTGGCCCGTTTCAGAAGCCCGGGAATGAGTTGTTGTGCTCTATAACACATTGGAGGGTCAACCCAAACATGGTATGTACACCCACCCAACATCTGCAAGCAATTCGAAAAAAGGGAA